TATATATATATAAAGTTGGCCATTCTTGCTAGTATATATACTCATTCTCCTAATACTTAATACTTTTGAAGTAAGAAGAACCCATATGGTGTAACTCAAACACCTTTTAAATCATTCGGTAAGCTTGATTAAGAGCAATTTAATTTATGCGTGAGGATTGAGCTAATGATTTCATTTTCATGATGATGAATTCAAATAATTAGAAACGCTACCAGTGTTTTTCTTTTTCTTCTAAATCTTAAAATCATTAAAATACTCACAGACTCATAAAAAATATATAAATATAAATTATTATTTACTTACTCCATAAAATACACAGTTGATGATCAGTATGGTCAAAGGAAGGCAGACACACATGTTGATCCACATCATCACTTCAAGGACATAACTCTCTTCTTGATCATTTTCTATGATGGGGTTGTTGTATATGAATCTATGAGGCTCTCTTCCTCTGTAAAACACTTTATGGCAAAGCAAGTAAAGGAAAACACAGCAGAGTATTAGTGTAATTATTTAGACATGAAATTATTGATGACATTAGTTAAGAAGGAGCAACTCCTGCTGAGCTGAAAGTAAAAACAGGAAAGCGCCTCAACTTGTGCCGACAGGGACACGTCTGTAAAATAAAGCTGAGATGAAGAAAAACCGGCTTAAAACCAGTTTGATAGCACTTGATTGAAACTTAACTGATTTTGGTCAGATTTTGTTGGATGTACAGATCAGAAAAATCGTATTTGCACAAATTTAAATTTAAACATGTTGTTATGTTATTAAATCTATGCTTGTGAATAAAATTGATTCAGAAATTTCTCAAAAAATGTTCCAACGCACCAAAAACAGTGAAAAAAAATAACAACAACTCTCTGCAGGTTTTTATTAATTTTTGTAACCTCCTTAAAGGCTTAACTTTGAACATTCATTGGAGTCTAATATGTATGTGTACTGAATGATCTGGATGCATTATATGGGTAAAAATTTTGTTATTTTGTGTTCACCAGGATCACCTGTTGTATTTACTGCTATTTTATATAAAGATGTGAACACAAATTACTGATCTGTCGTCAGGTCTCCATCAAATAATATAAAATAAACTTAATCCATTACCAGCACACACATTTACATTAGCTACACTGAAACAGAAGTGCACGACTAACTAACTCTTCATAACTATCCTCGTTTTCATGAAGAGAAAATATGAATAAGTGTAAACTTTGGCCTTACTTGTCTCAGGGCTGCTTCCAGCTGAACCAGTGGGTAAAATCTGGAAAGTGATGAGTTCGTCTTAAGCAAGGAAGCTGTGGTAACCTACTTTACAAACCTGGTACTCACAGCAGCCCACAAACATGAAGCCAGCAGCAGTCAGCCAAACTTTCTACACAGTGAAAAATATATTTCCTGTTTGTTTGGTTAATGGTTACCCGTCTCAAAGTGACTGGCTGTAAATGAACCTCATACGTTTTTCTTTTTCTAAAATCTTCTTTGCTTTCTGTTAAGTTTCAGTTCTGTAAGATGTGATTAGCATTACTGACAGTGTAATAAAAACAAATCATGATTTTGTTGTGAACATTCTCCAGTACTGCTGCTGCTAAAAGTAACATAGCTATAGAAAACTGATAGCTGTAATTATTAGCACTAAAGCATTTTTATCTTCCACATCTCATATTTCCTTGTATACTGAACAGTTTGCTGCCAGGGTTGGAGGAAGAAAACATGGGACAGAGTGTCCTTTTTTCTCTCTTTTACAGTTGTGAATTGAATCGATCCACAAATGGAAATAATCTGAAACAAATGGAGCTTTTTGAAGTCATGTTTGTAACTTCATGAGCTCCTTACAAACCTATTCTTCCTGTTTACACCACATTAAAAGCCACAGACACAGCAGTAGCTGAAGTGGCAGCAAATGCCTGATTGACGACATAGTTTTTTTTTAAAGATTGTTATCTTCAGTAGGAAAGTGTGGCTTCTGAGATGTGAAACAGAGATAGGATATGAAAGCCTAAAAATTACACCAGTTTTCTCACGTCTAAGCAGACGACTGCTTCTCACTAGCAGTAGAAAAAAGTGATACAAAGCAGAAATCAAATTATGCAAAACATTAAAAAAAACAGGTACTCTAGTTCCTTGGTCCCTTAGTTAAAATATATGAGACGTTTCATACACATTTCATACACAATCATTTTGTATTTTGGTTCAGAAAATTATGAAGAACTGTGATATTTCCTTGAAGTGATGCTGTGACTTTTTGTCAATAGTTAAAGAATTACACATTTTACAAAGAGCAGCATTAATGATTTATAGA